AATAAATCTGGATCCAGACTCAAAATGAGCACCTTGATATGTGCTTGAGAATGGCTTAGTCTCCGTTTAAACCCAGGTTTAAAGCCTTGCAGGGCAGCCTAAAGCCCACTGCTCACATTAAGCCAGAAAAAAGAAAGAAAAATAACAAACGCTCAGTTCAGGTGTTTTATAAGATATGTGAATCAGGAAATTGTCTATATACCAAACTGAACGATTGTTCTTTACTTCTAAAAACATTTCAGATTTTTTTTTACATTTTTATTAAAAATTCAATGTATAATGCATTAAAACCAGTTTTTTTTATTTCAGTGTTAAATTATGTTTAAAGTAACAGATAATAAAAAATGTCTCCAGACCGTTAGTGGTTGATGATGTTCTGTATTCGGACCCCACTGATTTTTAATTGGTAACCCCTGCCATAGCGCATTTGGACATGTTTCAAAAAGTGGTGAAAGATTTTGCAAAACCAAACAATTATTTTCGTTTGTCTGCATTCAATTTAAAAGGTATAGTGGAGGAGTTTCCCCAGATTTTTAAAAGACCCTCCCTGTCCACTTAAAAAAAATGCACATGCACAACCCTGTACCCGCTCCACAGAGGGAATGCCTATTAAACGCGTGCGAGAGCGTGCACAGACTTACCACCAGTATGTGAAAATGGGGACGAGCACACACGACGGCCTTACATAAACATATGACCAGAATGATTGACATTTAGGAGGACCACTTATTTTTATGATTCACTTGGAAAAAGAACATTCTCTAATATACCTTTAAAGAAGCTAAATCAATCATTATGAGCAGGTTCTGATTTAACTTTTAATATAAAATCAACAGCAAGAATTGAGCATCCTTTATTGTTAGGAGACCTCTTGTACTTACTATTCTTTGTCAAAGTAAGTTTTTATACTTATATTTTAAGAGAGGATCTGACTTTTTGATTTCACTCTTAACACCATGAAAAACAAATTTATATCACTTCAGCACTTAACAAACACCTTCACTGTTAAAATATATTACACCAAAAGATTATGAATATTCTGTCTTTGTTCTTTTCCAGGGAAAAAAAGAAATAGCTCACCTGCTTCAGCTTTGTACTCCTCACTTTTCCACTCCCTACCAGGCAGACGCCATTCCACTCTGTACTTTAAAACCGGCACTCCGCCACTGCTGACAGATTCCTTGAACACCACCTTTGCTGTGCTGGAGAACGGCTGCACTTCTTCGATTATAGGCGACCCCGGCACATCTGCAACAGCAGGTAGAAAAATATAGCAAAGAGAAGTTTAAATTAAACAACAGTTGTTCTCTGAGGTGCCTGCAGAGAATTAAATCAGTTTTAACACTTCATTTATGAAGGTCTTATGTGAAAGGTGAGAATTTTCTAACATCTAAATCAGGTGTCAGCAACAAAAAATATTCCAAGAGCCATATTGGACCAAAAAAGTCAAAAATATTTCTGGAGCCATAAAAATGTAAAAGTCTTATATAAGCCTTGTATGGCAACATGGACTCTAAGTGTATCAGTCCACTACAAAAAAGGACTATGTGGGCTTAAATATATAATAATCATTCATGATTAAATGTTTATCCTGGAGCAAATGTCACATAGTAGCATGAGGTGAGGGAGGAAAAGTGAACGCTCTCACGCACTGAATTCACTGCACTGCATGAAATGATATAAACACGATAAAGGAATCTTTCTATGGTGGACGTGTTTCTGTTGGGAGGAACTGATTGAGTCATGAGGAACAAGGCAGGAACTGACATCCATCAGAGCAGAGCTCTCCAACCCTGAAATCCCACATCCTCCTCCACCAGCGTTCCTGGGTGATATTTTTATTTTGAGGATTTAGGGGGAAAAAAAAGAAAAAAAGAGCACTACTTGTTCAATCTGTGGATGGTTTTCCATGCTTGCACAAAACTAGCAGCAGTATTGGAGTTAGGAGATGCAATCCACCTCTTAAATCTTTTTTTGTGCTCCTCTAATTTATCCACAAGTTTTGCAATCGCTGCATTTTTAGCATACTTTTCCTGGAAATGCCTTTCCAAATAACTTTTTTTTTTTTGAGAACTTCTCATTACAAAGAAAAATGCATTCTTCTTTGAATCCTCTGTTCTCTTCAGATATCTTTTCCCTTAGGGATCCATGGCCCAAGACACCCACCTTTGTTTGCCTGGCGCAGTGCTGAAACGTGTTGCAGGCTATTACCACTGATCTCTATGGCTATGACGCAAATTTTCGTTGACATAAATGTTTACATTTATTGTTTATATCTATTTATTACATAAAAGACATAATGAATGTTTGTTTGACCTCCTGCACACCATAAACAAAAAAAAAAAAAAATTAATTCTCAAATTTTTGAAAAAGCTCTTGGAAGCTACAGTCTGAAAAATATGATTTTGGACATTTTTATTCAATAACAGATGACTTTAACACAAACTGTATGCAAGATCATAACCAAAATATAATTTTGATTTTATATACTCTAATAATCCCAGAGGGAAATTACTTCTCTGCATTTAACCCATCCCCTTGGGGAGCAGTGGGCTGCCATTGTGCGGCGCCCGGGGAGCAGTGTGGGGTTAAGGGTCTTGCTCAGGGAGCCAAAGTGGCAGTCTGTGGGAGTGGGGGATCAAACTCACAACCTCAGGATTCAAAGCCCTATGCCCTAACCACTAGGCTGCCACTCCCCTAATAATCACCTCTTACTGATAATTTCTTCTTTAAAGCTTATTACCTCGATCAATATAATGCAACCATTTAAATGAGGAAAAGCTGTCTCACACTGGAAATACACCTCTGTTGTTATATGTTTAAAAACATCTGAAATGAGAAGCACTTTTAAAAAAACAAGGTTGGATTCATGTCTCATTAAAGCTTTTCTGTGCTGCATTTATTTCCTCTGAGGAGCCCAAAACAATCCGGTAACCGAATGACACAGGAGACGCTAGACTTATCTAAATGAGTTTCTAGCAAAAGCTTCAGATCCCGCCAGCGATGCACTTTGAGTCATGATTAAAGGACTTGATGATGTCTGAAAAACAGCGCTCTGCAGAGCCTGGCTTTGTCTTTATACTCTCCAGGGAAGAGAATAAAGAGTCATGATGGATTATAAGTCCACCAAGATTCATAACTGTCAGGTGGATGTTAGCTTCATCTTATAACCATTGTTTAATCTTATCTTAAAGTTGTAATATAATGTAATATAGTGTCTTGATACTTTAAATTAAAGATCTATGTCTTCCTCCCTTGGTTACCTATAAGTGGGTAATACACACATTAAAGGGTGATTTTCTGTACAATCAGAAAAGACAGCAAAATAGGCTGATCCTTGTAAGCCAGGGCAAAAAACAACAACAACAAAAAAAAAAACACTAGACTATAGCTACTGGTCTGTACAGACTAAGAATAGAAAAATTTGAAATGAAGCAGAACAAGGGGACAAATTTAGCTTTCCAACAAAAACACTGGCAGAGGGGTGCAGGTTAGGGGGCAAAAAACAATCACTAGTAGAAAATTACAGTTAATAATGGCATCTTTGAGTCATGAGTGTCCAATAAAAACACAGGTTATTAAAAAAAAAAATACCAGCTAAATATTTGTGAGGGCTGTCTTTTTATTAAATCACAAAGGTCTTCTGAACCTTGGCATTTGAAATAAATATTTAATGAATTCTATTGAAAAACTGAACACTGTTTTTATTGAATCTTTTGAAGGTTTAATGATCCATACAAATATTGTTTAATCAATTAGGAAATGGTTCACCAGTCACATCCTTCTACTATAACAACCAGAGTCCAAAACCTGTAGAAATGATGTGAAAGAGTGGGCCAAGAATCTGGACTATAAGGAGAGTTTTTACAAAAAGGACACTGCCTTTAACTTCAAGCCTGGGAAATTTTAAAGGAGACGACAAGATGCTATCCTATTGGGAACTGTGGATGTTCTACTGTAAGTCTTGAAAACAGGGCTACAGTACCCTAAGAGTTGTGGCTAGGGTGACCAGACGTCCTATTTTTCCCGAACAGCTTTTGATACCTAAAAAAAATGTCTCGGGGGAATTTCAAAATCAGGAATTTCAAAATCAGCCGGGATTTTGGTCGACTACAGTGCAGCAGGTATGCTGATGAAGATTCCTGGTCATCCAGGTCATAGTCATTCCGTAAAAGTTCAAAAAATATCCACTGGACTTGGTTTCCAAGATTTGAAGACGTTTCGCCAACTCTCCAGGAAGCTATCTCAATTAAAATGTTGGAATTCATTTCAAAGAGAAAGCTTCCTGGAGAGGTGGCGAAACGTCTTCAAATTTTGGAAACCAAGTCCAGTGGATATTTTTTTAACTTTTACGAAATACAGAGCAGCAGACCGAGCTGAGAGCTGTGGGGCCGGGCACAGAGCGACCCAACCCGACCTGGTGACAGTAGCCTGGACAGCGGTGGTCCCGTGCTTCCCCATTCCACCTGCCTAACTGGGGAGGCGGTATAGGGAATCATACAGTCGCCAAGTCGAGTTCGGTCACTCCCTCCCTGGCCGCCCCCCCAAAAAAATAGTGTACTCCTTTTCAGTAACCCAAATCTGGCCACCATAGTTGTGGCACATATGTTTTTGGAGGCTATGGTTTCTGCAAATCAGTTCGGTTATTTGTGGAGGGGATTGTCTGTATCCTAATGCAGTATTGGCCTCCACTAGCCTCGTGAGATCATCCTGATCTCGCAAGTTTTCAAGGTTTCACTCGCAGATCAGTCTGGCTACTTTCTGTTAAAGAAAATTTGGAGCAGTTCACCATACGAACGTCCAATCAGCGTTGGCTTTGAGGCGGGTTGAGGTGTGACGCAACAAGAAGCGCGACAGACGAACATGGCGGCTTCAGCGGATGAAATTAGCGTTAGCGTGGCTATTGAGCAAGTTTTATCGGAATTACAGAGTATTTGTTCACTGAAAGAAGAGCAAAACTGCTGCTCTGGAGGCTTTTCTCAGAGGAAAAGATGTTTTTGCTTTTCTCCCGACTGGTTTCGGCAAGAGTTTGATCTATCAATTGGCTTGTGCCTGGCTTGTGGTTGTGTTTTCGTCGTTGCTCTGTCAGTACGTGATATGCTTCGTTGATCTGATTGGTTTATTTGGCCCGTCTATTTCCAAC